TGTGTTGTTGTTCATCTGAGGTTGTATTTACCTACTTTTGAGAACTGCTAACGACCAGATGATTTTTATTATGTCCTGATACGTAAAACCATAGAATTCAAAGAGGGCGTACTTTCTTTTTCATACGACTGTATAGAGTCCATTTGAATGCAAAGATACATGGGAATTCAATAGCATGCTAAGTTAGACTAAAACAATGACGTGCCGAGAGACCAGGAGATCAAAATATGACTGCTGGATAAAAGCACCAGGAGCCAAGCAGAATATGAAATTCCATGGCCAAGAACTGCCCAAAAATGGCTAGACATCCTCTCAAACTGTCTTTTAAATTGTAACAATATTCCATGACAATATTGATGAAACCCAGCTGGTCAGGGTCCAATTCTTTTAGGTTATTAAATAGGAGACAAAAATATGCTCTGTGTATATGTGTGCGTATAAGTATAAAAGCATCTCTATTCTATAGCTTGCCATTTTATTTGCTAATTTCTGCCTGTTGCTTCTCTCACTATCTTTTCTACATTGGAAAATCTTTCTGGTATCAAGAGGCTACAAGAAAACTTTTGGTAACTATCTGATTATTAATTAGATAACCTCCCTGCTTATATTGGTTGGGAAAATTGTGTTGATCAGTGAAGTGTACCTCTAATTAGGTGTGCTGGAACCGAGAAATGTACTAAAGGGACAACTATATTCAAGCTCCGATTCAATAAACCAATGCAGTTATTGTACTGTGTACCGTTGCCTTCTCTGGTGATTGTGCCCATTGGTGACAAAGTTCCTGAGAGGCGAGGGAAAGGGTTCCCTGTGTTTTCCTCCTCCCAAGACTCTCCCCACCCCATTAATATAATGCAGAAATGAGGCAGTGTGTATTTAATTAAGGATGAGAGGGCAGATCTGGCTTGCATTACTGAAACCTGCTTGGGGGGTTGGCACTAGCTGCAGCTCCAGTGGACAGAGGTATGGGGTAGTAATCCATGAAACTCTGTTGGCATCAAGAGATGCTACTCTGCTGATAACTGGATGTGAGACTTTGTGTAGTTGGGCCTGAAAGGGCTACTGGTTTGCTGCTATTGCCCACTACCATGCTACCCACTGGCATCCCTGCAAGGACTGCTTGACCTAATTGATAGGGTGGTGGTAGTGTTCTCCAAACTGGTGATATTCGGAATTTCAACCTACTTTTCCTTGTTGTGGGATCTGGAGCAGGAGTTCAGGGCTGTCATGACAATCATGGACTTGACCCAACTTATTTAGGGCCCAACACAGACATCACATGCTGGATCTGACTTTTGTTTTAGGAACAGGTAATACATGGCCTGAAAGTGGGGGGCATCAAGCTTAGCTCTTTGTTGTGATCAGATCATTCTCTGATTGCTATGGAGTTTCACAGTGCAAGCCCATTCCACAGTAGGGAAGGACCTATTAGATCCATTCAGGAACTTAATGGATCCAGTGAGTTTTCAGAGGGCACTTGGGGAGTGGAATTCCCAAAGATCTGGTGGGCAGCTCAGTTGAGGCTCTGGCTGTCCAACAGAAAAAGGAGGTGGCTATGGCATTTGAATGGACTGTACTGGAGCAACCTCTCCCTATTGCAGCTCCTTATTTTACTGAGGAACTCAGGGAGATGAAGCAGCAGAAGAGATACCTACAATATTGCTGGAGGAAGACCTGTCTCAAGTCTGATTTGACACTGGTAAGAACACATGTTTGAGCCTATATAATGGTGATAGGAGTAACAAAAAAGAAACATTTTGCTGTTCTCATTGTATCCATGGAATGCTAATCAGTGGTCTTTTTTAAGGCAACTTGTTCCCTTTTAGAGAAAGGTGATTGCCAAAAACATTTGAAGAGCTGCAGTGAAAAGTTCTTGCAGCATTTGGTGGATAAAACTGCTCAGATGTGAATGGAGTTGAACTCTAGCTGGACAGTACCAATAGAGAGGACTAGGGCTTTGTCCTGTGAAATGAACTATGATCAGTTTGAGCCTGAGAGTTCTGAGAAAGCAGGTAGGGCTTCTTTAGCCTCACCTTCACCACCTCCCTAACCCTCATAGTTAGTTAAGGCCTCTCATGAAGTAGCATGAAGTTGGATTCAAGCAGTAATCAACACCTGTGGGAGGGAGCATTCCATTATCACTTAAAGAATCTAGGTCCACCCACTGCACAAGAAGCATTCCCTTGACCCAACTACATTGGTAATTTTAGACTAGTCTCCAACCTTTGCTTTTTAGGCCCTACAACTCCAGAGGAGCAGATTATCTGGACCCTGGTAGTCAGGTTTCAGGTCAGGGTACAGCACAAAAACTGCACTGGTGGTGCTTGTGGATGACCTTTGGAGTGGACCTCTTTTACTTAGTTCATTAAAATGAGGTTTCACTGTACAGTACTACTGTATCATATTAGATGACCAAAGATGGAAGTATTAACAAGCTCAATTTACACTATATATTACAAACCTGTATGTGCAAGAATATTAAAACTTTACTGGATATGATGCAACTTAGATACAGAATTAATGAACTATTTTCCTGTACATGCAGTCTAAAATTCTGATTCCAGTCCCAGAGAACCTAACTAAAATAATCAAGATTTACCTCTTCCTAGTAAAACAAACAGTTGTGTCTGGCACTGTTGGTAGTTCTGCATATACAGAAATCAATTTTAAAAACAGTTTTGTGTAAAACAATGATATTGTTCTAGTATCTTGCTTTTGAAGAAGCTGAAATTCCTCTCTGATTATTTAGACTATTTATATCAAAACAACCAGTTTATTCCTGCAGTTTTTAAAGACCTTAAGTTTTAGAATTCTGAAACCAACTGAAATAGTACTCTAGATTGTTATATGGTTTTAATGATCCTGGGTGGCTTATTCTCTTTGTTAATTAAACTGTTTTACCATAAGAGTTGTTTGTGTGTCTTTTAAAAACCTTACATAGAGCAACACTAAAAACCTACCCTGTAATAAAATCGTGGTATGTTCATGTAGGAGGTACTGGCACTTTTTCTTCCTCCTTTCCATTCTAGGTAGTATTTTGTAAACAACTCCATCTCTTCATCCTTCAATTCTTGGTCACTCCTTTTAGCTAAATAACACAAGACAGAGTATAACTGCACATCATTTATATAGCCTACTTTAGTAAAACAAATTTCTGTAAGTAAAATAATTCTGATTTGAATCCTATACAGGTAGTCCTCAAGTCACAACTACAGTTGGGACTGGGATTGCCGTTGCCAAGAATGTGGTCATAAAGCATGATGTCATGTGACCACATTGCTTAGCAATGGCAATCCACGCAGTCCCAGTTGTCATTGTAACCCAAGACATGCAGATTGTTAAGTGGGAAGTGGAGGGAGTCCCAGTAAGGAGCTTGTTCCTTTATTGTTGATGGTTGATCCTAAAAGGCAGAAGCTGTCTACCACTTCAACATCTTCACTATCAGTTTTAAGGCTGTTTGTTGTACTTGTCATTAATTTGGTCTTCTTTATTTTTAATTTTAGTCCCATTTATTCCACTGTGCTCCTTAACATTTATTACTAGAGCACATAGATCCTTTGCATTTTCAGCTATCAGGATTGTGTCATCAGCATAGCGCAGGTAATTGATGTTTCTTTCCCCAATTTTAAAACCACACTCATCTTACAGTCCAGCTTCCCTTAATATATATTCAACATATAGGTTGAATAAATAAGGGGAGAGGATACAGCATTGTTGCAGTCCTTTGCCAACCTGAAGCCAGTCTGTTTTACTATCTGTTCATACTGTGGCTTCCTGACCTGTATGTAAGTTTCTCATGAGGACAGTGAGATGTTCTGGGATTCCCATTTTTCTGAGCACATTCCACAGCTTTATGTGATTGACACAATCAAAGGTCTTTCTATAATCAATGAAGCACATAGTGACTTCTTTTTGGTATTCTTCGGCTTTCTCAATTATCCTGCGTACATCAGCAATAACGTCCTGTGTTCCTTGGCTTTTTCTAAAGCCTGATTGAACATCTGGCATCTTTTTTCGTGTAGAGCTCTAATCTGCGGTGGATGATCCTAAGCATTATTTTGCTAGCATGTGAAATTGAAGATATTGTACAATAGTTTGCACACTCTGTTAAGTCTCCTCTTTTTACTATTGGAATGTAGATTGACCTCTTCCAATTGGTTGGCCACTGTGTCGTTCTCCAGATTTGCTGGCTTGGCTAGAACTTTGACTGATTCTTCTTCTGTTGCTTCCCATATTTTGGTGGGTATTCCATCAGTTCCTGTAGCCTTCCGACTTGGTAATGACTGAATCTAATTTCATCTAGAGGTTCTTGTAAGTAGGGAATATCTTCTAAGGTATCTTGGATGTTGACATTTCTACTGTACAGTGTTTCAGTAAACTCCTTCCATCTGTCCATGAGTCACTGGTCTGTTTCATACAAGCTAGACTAAACCTGATCAGCAATTTGCAACTCAGTGTATTATACAAACCAGCAAACATGGCAATTTGGTGCAGTGTACTGTGTGTACTGTTGTCAGTTCAATAAACTATGGCTAGGCAAAGCAAGGATTATTTATAACAGGGCCATTACAGTTCATGGGGCTTTGTTAGGCTTCCTCGCTGAATGATTACTGGAATAGACACAGGCCACTGAAATAAATTAAATTTCATTTAATGTTATTGTGAAACACAGAGCCTAAAAACCGCAAGAGGCTACAGGCATTTCTATTCTCCCTCATATTCAGAGGTAGCGCAGCTAGTGCGCTTACATCGTGGCCAAAAAAGGTTTCCACCAAATTTAAGCCACCTCGGAGCCTCCAAAAGAGAGCCCAGCGCCTGCATCTCTTCGGGGTTGCGAATCCCCAGAGCCGAGCATCCCGGTCGCCCTAGAGGAGCGCAGGCAGCCAGGCCCTCCCCCGTGGAGGAGAGACTCCAAGTCACGCGCCACCCGGCTAAAAATCCCTCTTCACTCACAGTCGGTACTGACGGCCAACCGGCTTTTCAGCGCCTGCTTCCAGTCCATCTTTCGTGATGTTCCCGCCTCAGTCAAGTACACCTCCGCTCCCACTAACTGTCGTCACCATTGGCAATATCCGGGAAATGGCGATGGAGTCACATGATCCCTCCTCCTCCATCTTAAGTGCAGGCAAAAAAGAAGCTACAGCGCTATGTAGCGTAGACACAGAAAACGGAGAGCAGGGGCCCTTAATTAACATGGCTACTGCCTCCTGCCTATCGGGTCTTTTCTAAATAGGTCATCACCTCGTCGCCTGCGTAGAGATCACGTGCGCTAATCTGCCAATCGGGGGAGAGCGCTTCGATTAGCGGAAATTTCTGGGAAAAGTATTGCTGAGCCGTCCGGCGTGGTTCCGTCGTTTCTTACTGCCGCGTGTCGTGGAGTCTTGGCTCGATGTGTTCATCGCCCCGACTAAATTGGCCCTGTTTTAATCTGCCAGTGTAAGACGCTAACATAAACTACGTTTCGCAGCATGCCGGGTACGTCGGGCACTTCGGCTAGCGAGGGTTGCACCGATGCCTTTGGTTATTTGGGCTGAACTTTCTGTTCTGGGAGCTCCCAGTTGCCGCCAAATATGGCGGACAGGTTACAAATTAGGCATTTATTTATTTAATTTATACGGCCGCCCACCTCACAGAAGAGACATGGTAGGAAGAGAGCTGAGTTGTTCTATGCTAGCCAGAAATCAGAGTCTGCTAGCACCTTTTAAGATTAACAAATGTTATTATAAGGCATAAACTTTCGCAAGCTGCAGCTCACTGCGTCAGATGCGTGGAATAACTTAACTAATGTAGAATTTAAGTCTATAGGGATGAAGTGGAAAGAAAGGGAAGATTACAGGTACCTTATCATTTAATCATTGCAATGTATTAAAACCCATTGAGATCAGGACTCAGAACAAGGGCAAGGTATGGTAATAGCTGAGCAGTTTAACCTCCCAGGACACTATTATAGATCTCTAACAATTTCAGAAGAAAGAAACGTTGCCAGCCCAATGGAAAGGGGGACCGTTGTAATTTTGAGGCAGCACATTAAAAATATTAACATCCCATTAGATCTGTCATCTCTTTCCAAGGATATACTCCTGACCAGCTAGATACCTAAATCAAATTACAATCCCTAAATACTGTATAGGAGGGCATTCTCCTTGGCTCAATTTGATGCCCTGCCTACTACAGCCTTAGAAGGGAGGTACAGAGGCATCCCATTTGGATTAAGGTTTTGCCTATATAGTGAAGGGACTATTGAAACTGTTACACATATTTTATTATACAGCATTGCCCATTTTATGCTGGCCCACAGTCAGAGTTGATAATTCCACATTTAAGGAAATTCCCTGGTAATTCTGATTAATTTTACCTACAGTTTTTACTCTTATATCCATGACTCTGTTACCCTAAGCGTAGCTAAATTCTGCTATGTCATGGAAAATGCGCAACCAAAATGCTCAGTTAATTTTAGAATGTATCCTATGGAACCCAATTTAAAGAATTGAGTTTTATTATGTACTGGTCTTTGACTACAGTAAAGATGCTTATTTACTCTAATGCTAAGTTTAAAAGAAAAAAGAAATGGTCAGAACAGATCTTACTGGGATTGCTTCATATATGCCTTTGTAGGGCAGCTTAATGCTGTTGGGTATACTTGTTTAAAGTGACAGGTTCTGTAAGCAAAATCAGACTTTTGATCTATGGCAGTCTTGCAGGTCTCATTTTTTAGGGCTAGTTACTGGGTTAGTTTGTCTCTACAAGATGATCATAAATTACTGAAAACTAAGAGTCTGATTAAGTAAGTGAGATATCAATGTTCTTACCAATGAGTACAATTTATAGTTTATCTTTGTCGTTTTAAGGAAATGTGACCTGTTTTTATCTCACATTGTGCTTAACTCCCTTGTGTGCAGGTACCACTAATGA